TACAAGATCCCAGTAATGAATGTAACTGTACTGTCTACCTAGAATGTACCAATAAATTAAATTAAAAAAAAAATAAAAAGGGGATTTAAGGTAATTGAGAAGGTCAGGTGGTGGTGATGCTTCAGTTTTGTTATTTTGATTGGAGCAATGCTTTCACGGATGTGTATATGTCAATATTTATCAAATTGTATAATGTCAATATACACAGATATCATATGTGAATTCTACCTCAATAATCTGTTACAAATAACCAGAAATTACCTCCTTTGCAATGATTTGCAATGATGATGAGCCTTTTTTAGATGATCACTTAAAAATATCAGAGGTCTGTGGTTCAAAACAGCATACGTTTTTGAAAAATCAGTCTCAGACTATTGTCCTATACCTGGATAGTTGTCTCTTCCTTAGGAGATGTTCCGGTATCTGCTTCTTCTGGCACGGCTTAACATTTGGTTTTTGGAGAAGACTGAGTCTGTCTTTATAATGCCAATGTTGGTAAATAATTTTTTTTCCTAATAAATGACAGTTTTATAATACATATAAACTCCATCAATATATTTTATTTCAACTCATACCTTCTATTTCCCTTCCTTTCCTCCTGTAAAGAGTGTATCTAACACCAAATAACTGACAGTGGATTAGCAACACTTAGCAGATTCTCTGGGTTTATGGTGATTCTTGTAACTCAGTGCATGCACTGAAGGCTCTCTGAAAATGAAGACCTGGTCAAGGAATCTGATCCTCCCCAGAACAGACCATTCAAAGATTTCAGAAAACTGACTACAGTTTTGCAGGTAACTCCAAGCTCAGCACAATGAACAATACATTTCAAGGAGGAAAAAAGCCACCTTCCTTCTAAAGCTGCCCAGATAATATTTCTCTCGACGCAGAACATTTTCCCAAAGGAGAATTTAAAATATCATCTTTTATACTATGTTTAGTCATACATAATGTTCATAATAGCACACATGTATGTCTCATTTTCATGATTAGTTTTGCAAGCTATTAAACAGTTAGTTAAATATGAAATGTTTATTTATAATAGTATACCTATATAGGTCAGAAGGTTTTTACTTACATCTTGATTTTCAACTGTTAGCCCAGAGCCAGCTTTCATTCTATTCCGGAGATTCTAGATAAGATCTAGAAGGACATTCTCAGTCTTCATAACCATAGAAAACAAGGCAATTGATCAGGTATGGTGGCACATGAATGTCATGTCCAAATTCTGGGAGGCTGAGGCAAGAGGATCCCAAGTTAGAGCCCAGCTTGCAGGACTGTGTCTCAAAATAGTAAGTCAGGAATGGAGCTCAGTGCAAAGGCCCTGGGTTCAATCCCCAGTATCCCCGCCTCCCACTCTGAGGCAGGGGTGGGGGGGCTTCCCAGCACATGAGAACTGGTATGTTACTAACATATTTAGAATACATTTTATTTGTAAGATTTAAAAACCCTGTTAGCTTCACGAAGCATTTATTTTGCATTTATTTTGGTATCATCTTTGAATCGTACACAATCACTCATTTTTTAAAAAGACATTTTTACCTACCTGTTGACAGTATTTATTCCTAGAGTATTTGAAAGTTGTTTATTTTTTCCCCATTGAGTTTATTGGTTCATTTTAGGTATACAGTACAGTCACATTCATTATTGGTATCTTGTACCTTTACATGACAGGTCTTAGTTCTCATTTTTCCCCCTTGTCCCTGCCCTCCCTTGTTCTTTTTTTAAAAAGCAGGGTATGGTGGCACACTCCTGGAATCACAGTGCTGCATTATTGTATCTTCTTTTTGTTTCTGCTTGAGTAAGGAACTACCTTGGTACCATTTGAGCAAATCTGCCTGTAGTTCCAGCACTCTGAGAGATGGAGCTCGGTGTAAAAGCCCTGGTTTCAATGCCCATTACCACACACACAGAGGTTTTATAAATGTTAACATACTGAACTTTATAAAAAGTATAACTGTTGTGAAAATGAGGACTGCACGCCTATAATCCTAGCATTTGGGAGGCTTAGTTAGAAAGATCACCCTGAGTTTGGGGTCAGGCTTGACTACATAGTGAGTTCAAGGTCAGCCAGAACTACATACGGAGACCTTGTCTCAAAACAAGCAAGCAAGCAAACAAACAAACAAAAACTCACAAAACAGACAAAACCCAGAATATTTGAAAGGCAACTATGAACCACAAAATACAAATCCATTTTGCCACAATAGTTGGGTTGTATGTCAAACAACGATACTATGGTAACTTTTACACTTTAAGATATTTGCTATTCGTGACATTTCAAAATCAACCCTATGTAATAATTTATACAAAAATGCACCCATTTTATGTGTTCAGTCTGTTGAGTTCTGATAAGGATATATCTGTATAACCACCACAGGCACCCTACTGAACCTGTTTACATTACCCTAACAAGATCCTGGGCCTGTTTTTAGTTTGCTTTCTCTGCAAACATTCCTAGATTCCAGCAACCCTGTCACTATTGATTAGATTTTCGTTTTCTAGAATTCCATACAATAATAGCCAGGCACTGCACACGATTTCCTGTCTGGCCACTGTTGCTCAGCATTCGGTTGTTGAGACTTGTTTGTGCTGTAGCAGTTTATGCCTTTTTATTGCTGAGTAAGATCCCATTGCAGGAACACACTATGATTTGTCCATTCATGTGTTAATGGACACATAGTTGTGTTTAGTTTAGTGTTACTACACCTAGAGCTACTGGGAATGTTTATATCCAAATATCTGCGTGCACGTATGTTTTTATTTCTCTTGGTTAAACACCGAGAATGAAATAGGTGGATCATATAGTAAGTATATGCTGATCTTTTAAAGAAATTTCTAAATGTTTTCCAAAGCACTAGTCTCTTTCCCTTTGTATGAGAATGCCAAATGCTCCACACCCTTCCCAACATTTTGAAATATTAACAAGCTTAGTGGTGATGCAGCGATAACTCTTTGTGACTTAATTTGCATTTCCTAAAATGACTAATAAGATCAAGTGTCTATACATGTGCTACTGGCTGTTTCTGTGTTTGCTTTGTGAAGTGTCTACTTGATCTTTTTTTCCCATTTAAAATATCAGATTGTTTTAAGCTATAAGGATTCCTTATATACTCTGGGTACAAGTTCCTTGTCAGATATATGTTTTGTCAATTGTGTTATGTTTTTAGTTTTAATTTGAAGAGGTTAGACTTTTACATTTTCATGTTCAATATTTTCATCTCTTTTAAAATTACTACTTATTTGTATGTATCTAAGAAATATTTTCCCTCTCCAATATCACAAAGGTTCTACTGCATTTTCTTCTAGAAGTTTTATAATTTTAGCTTTTATATTCAGGTCTAGAATCCATTTCAAGTTAATATTTGTGGTGTAAGAATAGAGATCCATTTTTAATATGGCCATCTAGTAGTTATACCATATTCTTGAGAATATTGTACTCCTGACATTGAATTATCACAGCTTCTTAGTCAATAATCAATTGGTCATATAAACTGATGGGTCTATATGTGCAGTTTCATTGATCTGTATATCCCTCCTTATGTGTACTACACGGGGTTGAACACTGTTGATTCACAGTAAGCCTTAAGAGGAATTCTGCCTAAATTTTGTAATTACCTTGTTACAGCAGAAAAATTTAAAAAAAATCTAGGATCGAGGAAAACTGTTATCTTACCAGTAGCGAGTCTTCCAATTCAGGAACATGGAATTCTTATTTACTGAAGTCTTTCATCAGCGATGTAGTTTTCAGCAGTGATTTATAACTCTTAGTGTACAAGCTCAGGGCAATTATTTTGTTAAATCTCCACACAGTTTATGTTTTTAGATGCTCATAGACATTGTGCGGTTTTATATTTCATTTCCAGGTTTGTGTGTTTTGCCCTTGATTAGAAAAAGACATTGTTTTGTTGTTGTTCCATTGACCTTGTATCTGCCACTAGTTCAAGCAGCCTTTTTCTTAGGCATGCTAGGATATCCTAATCGTACAATGCTGTCACTTGCAAATAAATAGTTGCACTTTTTCTTTTCGAATGTAAAAGTGTTTTTATAGGGGTTCATAGTTTTCATCGAATTTGGGCGATTTTAGCCATTCGTTTCTTCCTAATGGACGTCTCAGTCTCTCTCTGCGCTCTTTTCCTCTTTCTCTATTGGAAGGTCTTGCTTGACGTTTTCCAAATTCCCCAGGGCGGGCTGGTAGTGCCACTTGGGCGTGGCTCCTAGAGCCCAGAGCCACGAGGACCTGGTCCTCCTTTTCCCTTTTGGCGCGCTGTGCTTGGCCACTAGGAAAGGCGTCGCCCTGCAGTCTCCGGTCCCCAGCCTCCTCCGGACCTGGGCTCCGATCCCAGCCTAACACGTAGGTCACTTTGTTTCGCAGGACTAAGGGTGAGAGGCTGAATCAGGGATAGAGGGTTTGGGTTTCAGTAACCTGACGTCAGAGCCCGCCTTCTTAACCAAAGCTTTACTCCGGCGGGGGAAGGAGCTGTTACGGGCAAGCTCAGATCTCGAAAGGAAGAGAGGAAAAGGTGAAAGATACAAAGCGTGGGGAGCAGGGCGATGCCACCTTTCCAGCTGGAAAGGACTCTCCTCGGCCCAAGGGGTAGCCTGCCCAACCTTTTCTTCCCGGGTGTCCTGTTCTCTGCTTTCCTCCTGCTCGGCCACTAGACCCACGCTGGGCGCTGAACCGCTACCGATGCCCCTTAGCGACCACGGGAGAGGGCCCGCGCCCTGTGCGCCCTACCTGGCCAGGGACAGCGAAACGGGGCGAAGGGGGCGCTTTTTGTCCCGAAGCTCTTAGACACTGAGAAGAGATGGGAAGACGCCACTCCCACCCCCGCACTCACACACCCGTCTCCAACCCCCAGAAACCGCTCCCCGCAAGCCAGGGCGGGCAGGGCTGCGTCCAGTCCAGGGACGCAGTTCGTTCCAACTCTGTACCCTAGCAGGTGCACTCATCCCGGGCGCGGGACGTCTCGGGGTCCCCGGGAGGAGTCCCCTCCGCTAGCTGGCGCACGGAGCTGTCCCGGGTCGCAGAGGTCAGCGCCCTGGAAATCGCGGACCCCGCCCCCAACACACAACAAGGGGCGG